ATGATATTTTAAAAAAAACACAAGCAGATTTGCAGCGTAAAAATATTATGGCGCCATGTATAAATTATTTCCGCATTCAGTCAAAATGAGAATTCTGAGGGTGTTACCATGGAATAAGTTCTTTGGGAGGATGGAAATTACTGCTCAACTTTTTTTTTTCTTTTTATTTTGCTTTTAAAAATGTACTTGCTGCCAAGATCTCTGGACAAATGTATATCATAAAAATACATAAATAAAAACCATGAAGCAAAGTAAAATAATAAGACCAAGAACACACTAAACAAAAACCTCATATTGAGACTCAGATATGAATAAATACCAGCTCAAATAAATATAAAGAAAAAATTGCCAAAATAATATATCCCTTCAACTAAATTTTTCAGTTTCTGAATAATCCATATTCCATATATGACTCTGGAGAATAGGGTGCTTGTGCTTACATCAGGATAGAAGCTACCAGGGCTTCGTGAGGTAAGGAGAATAAATAACATGCCTTCATTGATTTAATAGCTTTTCTTGCACAAAACACTCACATCCCTTTAATTTAGGGACACTATTCAATTAAACACTGATGCTGCCTTTTCCAAAAATATGGCTAGATTCTTTAGCCACCAATATCACAATTTCCTTGTTGAAAGAAAATCAGTAATTTTTAGCCAATGTCCACTGAAAACAAATAAAAGCTGAGCTAGAATTTCAACCAAATATCGACTTGCTATCATATTACTATTTACAAGTCTGATGTAAGTCAAAGCATCAGATTACAGTCTTGGTTTCATCATTCTTGGTGGAAACTTGGCAAGTCATTTACTCTCTCCAGGCTCCAAGTTCCTTGGGAGCTGGACTAGGTGAGTAATTTTCTTTTCTTTCTTGAAGGATTTTTTTTTTTAATCTCTTTCCACATTTCTCTGTAAGACATTTCCACCTCTTCCCCACAATTACTGGGAGTAACTGGTGGTGGGAGATAGAGGAAAAGATGCTGCTGATGGTGAAATCTCAGCACATTTGGGGACTAGAAAACACAAGGGAGATTATGGGGTGGTTGTGACTAAGAGCAGGCACCCAGGAGGGCTCAGCCTGGGGCAGGGTGCTGACTCTGCCACTGAGAGTCTATATAACTCTGCACTGCAGCTCACTGCTGGTAAACAAGCTGACATCGGTAATGGGCGAGGAACATGGCCAGATGTTGCGTATTATCACCATTCCTATTATCAAAGGATTTGGTAGCCCTCCACTTTCCTAGGATCCTAACAAATTTGAAGCAAGACAGCCACTGGGATTTGGACGCAGATGCCAATCTGACAGGTTGGGCAGTTACTAAACACCAAAATGCTAGGAAAATGAGTGGGTATACAAAGATGTCACTCTCTTTACCTTTATATGATCCATTTGTTTGTATATTTCTGGCTATCTGGGGTGCTTGGCAAAAGTGAGAAAGGACATAAGTCAGGGAATAGAATTGTGATCATTCTTCCAGGTGTACCTGGCTGGCCTTCATCCATAATTTTAACCACTGGGGTGTGCTGGGAAATCTAGGCTTGGCTGCAGAACAAACTGAGAGCATCCCCATGTCTTTGAGAAGCAGCGGTGGGCAGGTTCTGGTGAGGGGTTCGCAGGGATGTGCAATGCCAAGCAGAGGTGGAGGTTTGGCCAGAAAAGGTAGAACAAACAAGCAAATGAAAATCATGTAAGACACTTGGAAGAGTACTGGTGCCAAGGATATAAACTTGTATATGCAATCATCATATTTCAACTCTGTATTTAAAGGGGGGGGGGGAACTACTCATCTATAAGAAAATTCACTGCTAAAGAGTGAAAATTTCTACAATTGGTTTTATATACTTTTTCAATTCATTGCCTCACAGCTACCCTTTTTCTCTATCCATTGCTTCACAGCAATACATTTTTAGCTAATGGGGCGAGGGAGCAAAGCTGGGCCCCTTTAGGAAATTGGGGAAAATTCATAGTCATTCAGGTTTAGCTTCCAACCAGGCAATGAATATTTATAATTTTATACAGTATCTACTAAATATTACCAAAGATGTTAATAGAAAATGGGAAAGAATATGACAATAAATGTAATGTTATGTTCTGTTAAATGTTTCTGAATTTCAAATTTTAAAAGTCACCTCTACCACAAAATGACAAGCTAAATGGAATAAAAACATTTCTAGCATAATGACTAGACTGTAGACTAATGATTAACTGTGATTGAATCTAGCCGCTCTGAATAGAGTTTGGACTTGAATCACATATATTAGGTGCAATTTAAATTGTTGCTGTACTTACGGAAAATAGGAAGGTAAGTGGCCACCTTCTTATATGATACAGTCCTCTTTCATATAATAAAGAACACATAACCAACAAAGATGCCTAAAATCCAAATGAGAAATCAAGATCTCTGAGAAAGTGGGACCAGAGGCAGAGATGCAAAATGAACACTTTGGGTCAAGAGATTCCAGCAATCATGCAAAATGACTCAGAATAGGAAGCTACTAAAAATAAAGCCCCTGAAAGCACCATCAGGTTCATCCAGGAATATAAAATCCAAACAATAACATTCCACAAGATCCCAGGAAGGCGTCCTGTGCACACCAGCTGATAGTCATCACTGAATACCACCAGGAAATGGTTAAAAAAGTGTTAAGGGAACAAATGGAAAACTGCCCTCATGAATGTACCAGCATTCCTGAAAGGTGACTTAGCAGGATTGCTTTTGTGGGATAAAAAGATAAATCATACAATTGCATGGATGACCTTCATGAAACTGCTCAAAGGGCAGAAATTATCATGAGGACTAATTTTTTTAAGTTTTGAAGACAACTCTTCAGAAACTAAGCTCACCAGATCCCATTTATATTTTGGGGAAAAAAAAAATAGCTGAAATCTTCCTTAAAAAATATCTTAACTTCTCTTCCATCCCAGCCTAATGCAACAACAATGAAACGCACTGTTGTTAAAGAATTCATCACCCCCATGTCAGATCAAATCTTACCAAAATCAATGTCCTGTCAAATCGACTAACATAAGACCCTTAAGCACATTAGAACAATTTAGAACATACCTGTAAAGATAGAAACACAGAGAGAGAGAAAGCAAGAAAGAGTGTTTTTTTTAAATAGGAGAAACACATCTGGGTTTAATAATTATAAATCCACAGATATTGAAAGTCATTGATAGATGAATACAGGAAGTACCTGACTCAGTCTTGTTGAATAGCTTTACTCATTATTAAAAAAAAAAAAAATTTACCTTAAGTCTATTATTTTTATTTAAAGGAATATATATTATGTAACATGGGCTTCCCCAGAGGTTCAGCGGTAAAGAATCCACCTGCAATGCAAGAGACACAGGTTTGATCCCTGGATCAGGAAGATCTCCTGCAGGAGGGCATGGCAACCCACTCCAGTATTTCTGCCTAGAGAATCCCATGGACAGAATTACCTGGCGGGCTACAATCCATAGGGTGGCAGAGAGTTGGACACAACTAAAGTGACCGAGCTTGCACGCATGCACAACGTGAATACTGCCCTGGGATTATTCCTACTTAATTTTGGAGTACAACTTTATAAAAGCACTAAGAGCTGTTTTCTAAAGATACAGGTCGAAGTCAGAGCAGCAGGCCACCCTCCCCTGCTTTCTGTAACACAGGATAACACATCTCAATTTGTTTCAATTTGAAGTAATCCTGTACATTATAATTCCTCAAGAACAGAGCCCCTTCAGGGCTCCTAAAAGTCACTGGATTTGTAATCTGTAAATCAAGGCCAACTCCCAAGTCCTTGCTGGTTGCACTCAAGGGAACAATAGTCACAGCATCATATCTAAATAAAGAGTTACTTTTATATACATCCGCACATACAGTTGAACGCAGAGTGAGAGAAAGAGGAAGAACGCAAAAACGCTGAAATATACCTGCAACAATATAAGTCCCTTTCACTTCCACAGAAAATGTCACATAATCTTGATTTTAGAACCTGGAGGACTAATCTAATAGACATCGGTGCAGCCAATTTAAAGCAGCCACCAAGCAGAACATTTTATCTACTACAGAGAGAGAAAAAAAAAAAAAAGATAAACTTAGCAAGATTTTTCTGAACCAGCTTTGTTGTGCATTGATTGGAAAGGACGGAGGAAATGAATGGCTGTTCTGTTTCTGTCAGGCAATTTCCTAAGACCAAGGCACACAGGAAAGGCTCCCTACAATTTGAAAGTCTGGTTGACAGGGAGCCATAGTAAGGGGCATTCATTTCACAGAGCACTGACAACACCTCACTACCCAAGAATATTTATCTTTATCGTTATCATTATTCATTCAGTTGATAAAAGTCAGATTGCTCTTAAAAATCTTTCTGAGGCTCTGATGGGAAAATCCAACACTGAATCCTAGTCACACTTATTTTTTCTCATTGTGCTTTCTAATACAAAATGTTTATTTAACAAACAGAATATAGAAATGAAGTCAACTGCTTATAATCAGGAAATCAATCAAGGGTCAAAACCTTCTGCCAGACGATTTCAACTACAATATAAAATGCAGTTATTTACATTACAGGAAAGGTACATTCTAAAATAAAGGAGTCCACATCAACTGGCACTTAAAACAAGTCTGTCCTCTTAAAAGCAACGTTCTATTTCAAATAATTTTAAATGACATTTAATGACTTCAAGGCAAATCCCTAGATGGAAACTGAAGATGAGCTATGGTGTGACAAAAGCTGACTTAGAATCACTCTGATAATGAAAATGTAAGCCAAAATCATTCCAAATAAATCTCACAGGCAAACTGCAAATGCCACACAGCTCTTTGTTAACTCAGGTTTTGCCAAGCTGTACAAACTGTCAAGAGTGCTCACGGCTTTCCTAAAAATAGACACAGGTATAAATGTTTAAGAAGGAAAGAAAAGCTTCCACTTAAAGCAAATGTCTTCCATATAGGATCAAGACTCTAGCACCGCAAAGCACACCCAGTCCAAGGAGAAGGAAAAGCTGTCGCCTACCGTCAAACTTCTTGTGCCTGGACACGAACGTGGTGCGCACAAAGTGGCTTGTCCCCTCCACCAGGTTTTCAAACTCCAGCTTGCTCTGTTGACTGAGCTTGTCTTCCATTTCCGTGGTACAGCATGTGTACTCTTGAGGACAGATTCTCAAGTGTTCTCCTGCAAGAAGGAAGGAAATGTCAGCACAGAATGATCAGGCCTTCAGGGTGTTTGTTTCTCTGGCATTTCCCTCAAATACTGGGGTCTCTGTTTCACCAGCCCCTCAGTCCTGTCCATGGACTTTTATCTGGGCCGCGGGGTGTCTACCATTCCAAATACTCCAGACTCAAGTTGAACGCGAGCCCACGGTCTGATAGTCTCTGGCCTCCCCAATAAATTCATGTGTTGAATCCTAACCGGCAAGGTGACAATGTTAGGAGATGGGGACTTAGGGAAGTGTTTAGGTCATGAATGGGATTGGTACCCACACTCAAGACCTAGAGAAGAGTCCCCCAAGAAACTGAGCTTGCCCTTTCTGCCACATGGGAACACAGCCAAAAGATGGGGTCTTGAATCAGGGAGTAGACCCTTACCAGGCACTGAATCCACAGTGATGTGATCTTAAACTATCCAGCCTCTGGAAATATGAGAAGTAAATGTTTGCTATTTATAAGCCACCCAGTTTATGGTATTTCTGTCGTAGCACCCAAAGTGACTAAGAGACCTGACATTTAGTTCCAGCCCCTGTCACATAAGGAGAGGTACATTAAAGACCTCAGAAGGCCATAGGGTCCCTGCTTTTATTCAAAATGTACCAAGTAACAACAGGTGACAAGAGATGCAACACAGTTATAAGTGTGCTTATCTTTAGAAACCTCGAGTTAGGCAAGAAACAGAGCCCATCACCATAGACTGTTAGACGGCGGGGGCAAGAAAAGATGGCAATCATTCACTGAGTTCTGTGCCTGCCCGTCCGACCGTCAGAACGCATCAGCCTTCCTCCCTGTGAGACCAAGTGCGATTTTACTGGCAGGACTCCTATGCCACGCGTTCCCTTGGTTGACATTCCTTGTCAGAGAGAAATGTCTCCTGCAAGGGGAAAGACGCCGATGGGTTTAATTCATGCTTATGTCATAGGGAAATGTAAAGTAAAAGCTAATGAAAGTCTTGGGCTTAATTCGATAGATTTATCTCTGGATATACTGGGCTGCTTCTTTTGACAATATTGCTTTCTTCAGTGCTATTCGCAAGTGGAAGCCAAACCCTTGCTTGCTTCATGAAATTAAAATGGTCTGTTATTGCATAAAATGTGAATTTCCAATTGATTCAGCTCCGTTAGTGTCAAAAATGTTTAAGAGAGCCAGTGGAGGGAAGAAGGAAAATCCACCCAACATTTTGCTAAATAAAACCAACAAATTGCCCCTGTGATTAAAATCACTGTAGGGCATGGAGAAAGCAAATGAACAGAGTACTTGATGTGGTAATTAAAATTCATTTATCATGTTTAACAGTACTTATGTAAAATTATGCCCCATGTGAAGTATAGGGTGCCTGTCTCATGATTCTTCATGAAGTTGGATGCTTTCATGCCTACTTAAAACAAGCTCAGAATAAGAAAAAAAAGGATCATAGGTCTGCATTAAAGTTAGAACTTATATAGTTCCTGAAAGGGAAGGAGGCCATAAAACATTATGAATATCTTTTTTAAAAAGGAAGGAACATGCAGTGTACTTGAGAATGATAAACATCAAATTCAAGATAACTGTTTCCTCCCAGGAGGAATTAGGATTTGAGAGAAATGACCAAATACTTTTAGCTGTAATCTTTTACTTCATAAGTTGCCAGATATTTGCATGGTGTTTATTATATTACTATCATTACTTTCCTGTGCAATTCAAATATTTTCTAATAAAAGCTTAAACAGTATGTTATGAAAAAATTATACCAGAAAGGAGGGCAGGGGGTACATATGCATGGGGCTTCCCTGGTGGCTCAGAGGTTAAAGCATCTGCCTGCAATGCAGGAGACCCCGGTTCGATCCCTGGGTTGGGAAGATCCCCTGAAGAAGAAAATGTCAACCTACTTCAGTATTCTTGCCTGGAGAATCCCATGGATGGAGAAGCCTGGTGGGCTACAGTCCATGGGGTCGCAAAGAGTCGGACACGACTGAGTGACTTAAAAGGAGGGCAGGGGGTACATATGCATAAAGACAAAACAAATTTCTCTGGACATTGAGAATCCAGCCTGGCACTCGGCCAGGTCACCATAGTCTATTACACATAAACAAGCTCACAGAACACCCACCTCAGACAAGATCATTCTGACACCATGATGACATGAGACAAAGCAAGGCCACATAAAAATTTTGTCTAAACACAGACAAAAACAAGGTGATTGTGCCATCCAAAAGTACCAAAAATCTCCTTTCACTGGCAAGATGAGCATCTGTACTTTTACATTTATCCTTCTATTGATTGATCTTCATCATAGTCAACCCCCTTGCTGGTCACATTGGTTGAGATACCTTCCTATGGAATTACCTCCACTTTCTGAGAGCATTTGATCTAGGGTGAAGTGCTGCTTCTTTGAGCGCTTCCCACACATCATCCACCAAAATCCAAACCCTATCAAAGAATCTGTTAAAGTCCCTCTTGGGCTTCCCAGGTAGCACTAGTGGTAAAGAACCCGCTTGCCAATGCAGGAGACACAAGAGGCGTGGGTTTGATCCCTGGGTCGGGAAGAACACCTGGAGGAGTCCATGGAACCCACTCTAGTATTCTTGCCTGGAGAATCTCATAGACGGAGCAGCTTGGGGGCTACAGTTCACAGGGTCTCAAAGAGTCGAGCACAACTGAAGCGACTGGCACCCACGCCTGCAAAGTCCCTCTAACTGAGAAATCCTGAGGTTCTATATGGTATATTCTCACTTGCTGCACTGAGTGATAACTCATGACACAGGTGTGTTCCTGATGGGCTCTGATTTGAAGGGGCAAACCATTCCAAAAGGGGTTGGGATAGGACATGAAAATTTTGAAATTTTTCCCCAAGTGCTTCTGAAACTCACATCCCATTGAGAAGCATAGTTCTAGAGTTGAAGAGACTGGAAAGGAATAAGTGTGGCAAATGGTCCACAAATCACTAATTTTCTTTTTAAAAATATTAAAACTAACTGATAAGAACAACACTGTTTCCAGATCAAATAGATATTTAATACTAACAACCCTGCAGAATGACCATTTCTCTGACCTGTTATAAACTACTAAAAAAACCACTCTATTCCATTTCTACTATATTATGCACAAATGAAACATCCATTTCTCAGGATTTAGTAGTACATTGGGACTGCATTCTATTTCTGAATCATTACAAGTGAGTTTACAGCAAAAGGCATGGGACTTCTGGTGAAAAACTGACCAAAAGAAAATAAACATTTCATGATCTGAGGGTAATAGTTGTATTGGGGATATTTGTGAAAGAAATCCTGTGGATCTACATTCATGAAATTAGATGGATTGGTGGTTTTCTAATTTCTAATCGCTCCAAGAAAATCAGTATTTTATCTCAGGTGATAAATAAAAGGAGAAAGGTACTTTTTAGCAGGGCAAATTTAAACCAAACCTATTTCTTCTGTGTGTGTGTATAAGGCCATGAAGATATATGTAGGCAGTTGACTTACTAATGCAAAGCAGGGCGATATTTTTTTTAAATGAACTGTAGTGTCCTTAAGAAGGTAACTGATGTCTCCTCCTTTGTTCCTGGCAGAGAGAAAAACAAACAAAACTAAAGAGATGGAAAGGCAGAGATAGACAAATTAGAAAAAGTGAAGATATGGGTAAATCACCAGAATGTTGAAGAATCATGCTACAGAAGAGTGAATCTTTTATGCAAAGTGCCTCTTAGAGAACCTAGGAAGAGACCACGATGCCCCCAAACAAACAGGACCAGAGGTCATGAAACATGCAGTCCATTGAGACTGAGCCTTGCTTCCTTCCTAACGCATCACTGGAGAAGAAGGTTGTGGAGGAATTAAATTCTTAATAGCTCCTCTCTCCCCCTCATCAGAGGCCACTGATAACTGTGAAAACAACTGATGACTTTGAATGGCCAAAAAGACTTAGGACCACTGGCTAATTCTGTTTTGAGTGACTGTGTTAATCTGTTTCAGTTTTGACCCTAGAACAGGGTCAAACATAGCCTCTGGCCCAAATTCAGTCTGCCATCTGTACTGGTAAGACCTGTAAGAAAAATTGTTTTAAAAAATTTTTTAAAAATGATATTATGTGCTCTGTGATGCCTTATGAAATCCCAATTTAATTGTCCATAAATAAAGTTTTATTGGATAGCAGTCCCACCCACTCATTTATACCTTGTTTCTGGCTGCTGTAGGGTTAGAAGAGCAGAGCAGTTATGAAAGAGACCATAAGGTCTGTAACACGTGAAGTATTGACTTTCTGAAATCAGACATGACAGCTACTTGGCTGGATAAAGTATTACCACTCACAATTTCTCCACAGAGCAAGAATATGAAACTTTTCTCAGCTTACATACTTCCTGACACTTACAAGTATCTTTATTAATAATGGGTTTCTTCCCAAGTTGTAATTTATGAAGGTGAAAAAAGCCGTTGTCCTTTTAGAGTTTGCCACCCACACTCCTTTCTCAGATCCCCTTAGGTTCCCTATATGTTACTTATTCCATAACTAGATATAATATTTAACTCAATTGGATCACCACCAGGCACCTCCAAGATCACTAATAATAAAGATACTAAATAGATGGTTCTGGAAGGTCAGGATAAGAGACAATAACGGCAGAAAATGTAAGGCTGAAACTTTGATGACTGTGCCTTGACATATCAAACATGTATTGAAAATCTCCTCTGTGTAAATCATGATGATAGGTTCACATCCAGGAAGATTAGATGCAAGGTCAGGCAATCAGTTTATACATGTGATTGTTTTTTGGGCACATGAAGTTCAGGCTAGTGAATTCCCAACTTCCTGAATTTTTACAGAAATCATCATTAGCTCTAAAATAAACATTGGTATTACTCAGCCATAAAAAATAATGAAGTAATGATATCTGCAGTGGAAAGAATGGACCTAGAATTGTCACACTGAGTGAAGTCAGAGAAAGACAAGTATCATATGATATTGCCTATATGTGGAATCTAAAAAAAA